CCTCTGTGTAGCTGTAGTGTCTATTAGAGGAAGCCTCTGTGTAGCTGTAGTGTCTATTAGAGGAAGCCTCTATGTAGCTGTAGTGTCTATTAGAGGAAGCCTATGTGGAGCTGTAATATATATTAGAGGAAGCCTCTGTGTAGCTGTAGTATATATTAGAGGAAGCCTCTATGTAGCTCGAGTATCTTTTAAAGGAAGCCTCTATGTTGTTCGGGTAAAGGATGGCTACCTTACCTTTCATTTTCTTCTTCTTTTTGATAAGTTTCTATTTTAATTATTTACTATCGAATTCCTTGTTTATACACATGTTGTCTTCGCCCTGTTGATGTGAGTGAGTTGCTGTATCGTGTTGTCCTATTGTCCTATCATTATATAGAACGTATACTTCTGTTTGGTTTAGCGGTACCATCATATAAAGCTTTTAAGAATTACAATGTACAATAGTAAGTTTTTAAATATCAAATACGAATTTGTTTCCCTCTACTTTAACATATCTATACATAGCAATGATATGTTTATAAATAGCAATGATATGTTTATACATAGCAATGATATGTTTATAAATAGCAATGATATGACTCATATTGACAACAGAATGATATAACAGTGTTTTTCCTTAGAAAATTATACTTACATTTTCCCAAGGTTAAGGTCACATCGAGAAGAAACAAATGCTTAAGTTCCTGTCAATTCGCTTCTGATAATCACGTCTAGGGGTCAAAGATGTTAACACTTCTTAAAATAGCTTCCGACCTGTTGAAATGTTTCACACAACATATCCTGCTTGATGCCTCTGATATGTGAAGCAGAAATCCATGGCTTTTGTTTAAAGGTGTTGTTTCAGAACCTTCACAGGATAAAAACGTTTTTGGAAGAAGTAAACACATATATTGACAATAACAATGACACCTTTTACATTTTTGAATATAGACAAAGCTTATACACATTATGATTTCCTTTGACAGGTTGGACAAATCTCGGCTCAAAATGTTACAAATTGTTTGGTTCAGAGGCCACTTTAAGGAACACATGGGAAACAGCATCGACAGCATGTCAAGGGTAAGGCAGCTGACGTAGAATCTTTGTCTAAACGAACTTGTGTCTCCATAAATTCAGTTTCATTTTTTCAAGACATTTTAAAGTTGTCAATAAGAATGTTTTAGTTTGTTCAATGTTTGAACACGATTTGATGTTCAGAAGTTGCTACCATATGTTTTGTAAGATGGTGATGACCGTATTGGACGTATGTGATAATTGAAGTCCTATTATTTGTGTAGGTCCGGCTCCCGCCTGGTGGAGGTGAAGGACTACGACATCAGAACTCAAGTGGGAAACTTCGTCAACAACAGTGATGTGCAGATGTTTTGGACTGGTAAATGTTCCGGGGCAGTTCGTTATCAATGAATTTTACTTGTTTAACTAAAACATGATATACTGCATCGTAATGTGTTCTTGAGCAGTCTGGTATATAGAGTAACAGTTAACTGTTACAGTAAAGGGAACGTTTTTGATTTAACACCGGCTTACCATTATTTATCATATTTGGATCTATAATAACTTTTCAATTAGCCAAACACAAGAAAGAAACTCGACATGTAAACAGTACAAATATAACGTGACGTCAGACTGCTGCAGAAATCTGTGATTGTTATATCATAACTATGAGAAAATCTGCCTTTTGTAGGAATGAGCAGAATAGGTATTCTGGATACTAATACATACGGAGCTAAATGGAACAATGAACCAGCCTCCCTGTATGAGGGCCGATGGAGTATCCGCAACCCACTCGTCACTTCCGGAGACTGTGTTTATACCATGAGAGATGGAAGTGAATTCTCTGACAAACTTGGAAAATGTGATGAAAAAATGGCTTACGTTTGTGAGAGAATGTCTTGCCCAACAAGTAAGTACAATAGAACCATCGGTCAACGGACTCATAATGTTTAGCCTTGTTTTCTGGTCAGTGGTCAGACAGGACCTTAGCTTGTCTTCTGGTCAGTGGTCAGACAGTATGTTAGCTGGTCTCCTGGTCAGTGGACAGTGGTCAGACAGTATGTTAGCTGGTCTCCTGGTCAGTGGTCAGTGGTCAGACAGTATGTAAGTTGGTCTTCTGGTCAGTGGTCAGACAGGACCTTAGCTTGTTTTCTGTTCAGTGGTCAGACAGTATGTTAGCTGGTCTCCTGGTCAGTGGTCAGACAGTATGTTAGCTGGTCTTCTGGTCAGTGGTTAGACAGTATGTTAGCTGATCTCCTGGTCAGTGGACAGACAGGACCTTAGCTGGTCTTTTGGTCATTGGCCAGACAGAAAGTTACCTGGTCTGAGCTGGTCTTGTGGTCAGTGGTCAAGCAGTTCCTCAGCTGTATGTATGTAGATACTTTCACTGTTAGTATACTTTAGTTGTTTCTGCTGATAATGATATCTGTATGTAGATACTTTCACTGTTAGTGAACTTTAGTTGTTTTCACTGATAATGATATATGTATGTAGATACTTTCACTGTTAGTATACTTTAGTTGTTTACTGATAATGATATATGTATGAAGATACTTTTATTGTTAGTATACTTTAGTTGTTTCCACTGATAATGATATCTGTATGTAGATACTTTCACTGTTAGTGAACTTTAGTAGTTTCCACTGATAATGATATCTGTATGTAGATACTTTCACTGTTAGTATACTTTAGTTGTTTCCACTGATAATGATATCTGTATGTAGATACTTTCACTGTTAGTAAACTTTAGTTGTTTCTGCTGATAATGATATCTGTATGTAGATACTTTCACTGTTAGTATATTTTAGTTGTTTCTACTGATTATGATATCTGTATGTAGATACTTTCAGTGTAAGTATACTGTAATTGTTTCTACTGATAATGATATCTGTATGTATATACTTTCAGTGAAAGTATACTTTAGTTATTTCCACTGATACTGATATCTGTATATAGATACTTTCACTGTTAGTATATTTTAGTTGTTTTCACTGATAATGATATCTGTATGTAGATACTTTCAGTGTTAGGAAACTTTAGTTGTTTCTGCTAATAATGATATCTGTATGTAGATACTTTCAGTGTAAGTATACTGTAGTTGCTTCCACTGATAATGATATCTGTATGTAGATACTTTCATTGTTAGTATACTTTAGTTATTCCCACTGATAATGATATCTGTATGTAGATACTTTCATTGTTAGTATACTTTAGTTATTCCCACTGATAATGATATCTGTATGTAGATACTTTCATTGTTAGTATACTTTAGTTATTCCCACTGATAATGATATCTGTATGTAGATACTTTCATTGTTAGTATACTTTAGTTATTCCCACTGATAATGATATCTGTATGTAGATAATTTCACTGTTAGTATACTTTAGTTGTTTCCACTGCTAATTATATCTCTATTTAGATACTTTCATTGTGAGTATACTTAAGTTGTTTCTACTGATATTGATATCTGTATGTAGATACTTTCACTGTTAGTATACTTTAGTTGTTTCCACTGCTAATTATATCTCTATTTAGATACATTCATTGTGAGTATACTTAAGTTTTTTCTACTGAGATTGATATCTGTATGGAGATACTTTCACTGTTAGTATACTTTAGTGGTTTCCACTGATAATGATATGTGCATGTAGATACATTTACTGTTAGTGTAATTTAGCTGTGTCCACTGATAATGATATGTGCATGTAGATACATTTACTGTTAGTGTCCTTTAGCTGTGTCCACTGATAATGATATCTGTATGTAGATACTTTCACTGTTAGTATACTTTAGTTGTTTCCACTGATAATGATATGTGTATGTAGATACATTTACTGTTAGTGTACTTTAGCTGTGTCCACTGATAATGATATCTGTATGTAGATATTTTCATTTTTATTATACTTTAGTTAATAATAATTACATTACTTTGTAGATACTCTTCACTGTGCCAGCGGCGGCTGTGTCAATAACCTGTGGGTGTGTGACGGTGTCGATGACTGTGGAGACAACTCTGACGAGATTGACTGTTGTAAGTCCCCCTCCTCCCCCTCCCCCTCCTCCTCCTCCTCCTCCTCCTTGCAAGAAATTGCAATATATACTTTTAGAAGGAAGAATTGGTGATTATCATGCATACATCTCATATTACCTGTTTCCACAATGCGTTAGTGGTATGAGAACAGACAGTCAGAATAGTTTTAAGGGACCAATTTTTACATTACCGAGAGAAATATTCTAAGACGTACAATGTATACATAGTGTCCTTTGAATATAAAACAAAGTATGCTATCAGTGTGAATTAATCACTTTCGCGGAGTAGCTCTACAATAGCCTATTGATATCAATATTATCCCGCAATTACTACAGTTTTTTGAGGTCAAGGTCACGAGGATGTCTCACACTACCAAACCACATACAGAAATAGTTAGAAAAAGTTACACTGAATTATTGATATAAAATGTTTAATATAGCCAATCATATTAGAGATTGTACAACATTAATGAATTTAAAATATAACCTTGAAAATCATTTGTGAGGGTCGTATTTAAATTACTTATAACAGGCTGTGTAAGTTAAAGTAGCGTCACCTATATAATTATCTTTGTCAGTCAATGTAGCGTCACCTTTATAGTTATCTTTGTCAGTCAATGTAGCGTCACCTATATAGTTATCTTTGTCAGTCAATATAGCGTCACCTATATAATTATCTGTGTAAGTCAATGTAGCGTCACCTATATAGTTATCTGTGTAAGTCAATGTAGCGTCACCTATATAGTTATCTGTGTTAGCCAGTGTAGCGTCACCTATATAGCTATGTTTGTAAGTCAATGTAGTGTCACATATATAGTTATCTGGTGTAAGTCAATGTAGCGTCATCTATATAATTATCTTTGTTAGTCAGTGTAGCGTCACCTATATAGTTATCTTTATCAGTCAATGTATCGTCGCCTATATAGTTATCTTTATCAGTCAATATAGCGTCACCTTTATAATTATCTTTGTTAGTCAATGTAGCGTCACCTATATAGTTATCTTTATCAGTCAATATAGCGTCACCTTTATAATTATCTTTGTAAGTCAATGTAGCGTCACCTATATAGTTATCTGTGTAAGTCAATGTAGCGTCACCTTTATAGTTATCTTTGTTAGTCAATGTAGCGTCACCTATATAGCTGTCTTTATCAGTCAATATAGCGTCACCTTTATAATTATCTTTGTTAGTCAATGTAGCGTCACCTATATAGTTATCTTTATCAGTCAATGTAGCGTCACCTTTATAATTATCTGTGTCAGTCAATGTATCGTCACCTATATAGTTATCTGTGTAAGTCAATGTATCGTCACCTATATAGTTATCTGTGTAAGTCAATGTAGCGTCACCTATATAGTTATCTGTGTAAGTCAATGTAGCGTCACCTATATAGTTATCTGTGTAAGTCAATGTAGCGTCACCTATATAGTTATCTGTGTAAGTCAATGTAGCGTCACCTATATAGTTATCTGTGTAAGTCAATGTAGCGTCACCTATATAGTTATCTGTGTAAGTCAATGTAGCGTCACCTATATAGTTATCTGTGTAAGTCAATGTAGCGTCACCTATATAGTTATCTGTGTAAGTCAATGTAGCGTCACCTATATAGTTATCTGTGTAAGTCAATGTAGCGTCACCTATATAGTTATCTGTGTAAGTCAATGTAGCGTCACCTATATAGTTATCTGTGTAAGTCAATGTAGCGTCACCTATATAGTTATCTGTGTAAGTCAATGTAGCGTCACCTATATAGTTATCTGTGTAAGTCAATGTAGCGTCACCTATATAGTTATCTGTGTAAGTCAATGTAGCGTCACCTATATAGTTATCTTTCTCAGTCAATGTAGCGTCACCTATATAGCTATCTTTGTCAGTCAATGCAGCGTCACCTATATAGTTATCTGTGTAAGTCAATGTAGCGTCAACTATATAGTTATATTTGTCAGTCAAGGTAGCGTCACCTATATTGTTATCTTTGTCAGTCAATGTAGCGCCACCTATATAGTTATCTTTGTCAGTCAATGCAGCGTCACCTATATAGTTATCTGTGTAAGTCAATGTAGCGTCACCTATATAATTATCTGTGTCAGTCAATGTAGCGTCATCTATATAATTATCTGTGTCAGTCAATGTAGCGTCACCTTTATAGTTATCTGTGTCAGACATTGAAGCGTCACCTATATAGCTATCTTTGTCAATCAATGCAGCGTCACCTATATAGTTATCTGTGTAAGTCAATGTAGCGTCACCTATATAGTTATCTGTGTCAGTCAATATAGCGTCACCTTTATAGTTATCTGTGTCAGTCATTGTAGCGTCACCTATATAGTTATCTTTGTCAGTCAATGTAGCGTCACCTATATAGCTATCTTTATCAGTCAATGTAGCGTCACCTTTATAGTTATCTGTGTCAGTCAATGTAGCGTCATCTATATAATTATGTTTGTCAGTCAATGTAGCGTCACCTTTATAGTTATCTTTGTCAGTCAATGTAGCGTCACCTATATAGTTTTCTGTGTAAGTCAATGTAGCGTCACCTATATAGTTATCTTTATCAGTCAATGTAGCGTCACCTTTATAGTTATCTGTGTCAGTCAATGTAGCGTCATCTATATAATTATGTTTGTCAGTCAATGTAGCGTCACCTTTATAGTTATCTTTGTCAGTCAATGTAGCGTCACCTATATAGTTATCTGTGTAAGTCAATGTAGCGTCACCTATATAGTTATCTTTGTCAGTCAATATAGCGTCACCTATATAGCTATCTATGTCAGTCAATATAGCGTCACCTATATAGCTATCTTTGTAAGTCAATGTAGCGTCATCTGTATAATTATCTGTGTCAGTCAATATAGCGTCACCTATATAGTTACATTCTGTATCTGTGTAAGTCAATGAAGCGTCATCTATATAGCAATCTTTTTCAGTCAATGTAGCGTCACCTATATACTTATCTGTGTAAGTCAATGTAGCGTCACCTATATAGTTATCTGTGTAAGCCAATGTAGCGTCACCTTTATAGTTATCTGTGTCAGTCAATGTAGCGTCACCTATATAATTATGTTTGTCAGCCATTGTAGCGTCACCTTTATAGTTATCTGTGTAAGTCAATGTAGCGTCATCTACATGATTATGTTTGTCAGTCAATGTAGCGTCGCCTTTATAGTTATCTGTGTTGGTCAGTGTAGCGTCACCTATTTAGTTATCTGTGTAAGTCAATATAGTCAATGTAGCGTCGCCTTTATAGTTATCTGTGTCAGTCAACGTAGCGTCATCTATATAGTAATCTTTTTCAGTCAATGTAGCGTCTCCTTTATAGTTATCTTTGTAAGTCAATGTAGCGTCCCCTATATAGTTATCTGTGTAAGTCAATGTATCGTCACCTATATAATTATCTGTGTCAGTCAATGTAGCGTCATCTATATAGTAATCTTTTTCAGTCAATGTAGCGTCACCTATAGAGTTATCTGTGTAAGTCAATGTAGCGTCACCTATATAGTTATCTGTGTTAGCCAGTGTAGCGTCACCTATATAGCTATGTTTGTAAGTCAATGTATCGTCACCTATATAGTTAGCTGTGTAAGTAAATGTAGCGTCACCTATATAATTATCTTTGTCAGTCAATATAGCGTCACCTATATAGTTATCAGTGTAAGTCAATGTAGCGTCACCTATATAGTTATCTATGTCAGTCAATGTATCGTCACCTATATAGCTATCTTTGTTAGTCAATGTAGCGTCACCTATATAGTTATCTTTGTAAGTCAATGTAGCGTCATCTATATAGTTATCTGTGTCAGTCAATGTAGCGTCTCCTATATAGTTATCTTTATCAGTCAATGTAGCGTCGCCTTTATAGTTATCTGTGTCAGTCAATGTAGCGTCACCTTTATAGTTATCTGTGTCAGTCAATATAGCGTCACCTATATAGTTATCTGTGTAAGTCAATGTAGAGTCACCTATATAGTTATCTGTGTCAGTCAATGTAGCGTCACCTATATAGTTATCTGTGTCAGTCAATATAGCGTCACCTATATAATTATGTTTGTCAGCCATTGTAGCGTCACCTTTATAGTTATCTGTGTAAGTCAATGTAGCGTCACCTATATAATTATCTGTGTCAGTCAATGTACCGTCATCTATATAGTAATCTTTTTCAGTCAATGTAGCGTCACATATAGAGTTATCTGTGTAAGTCAATGTAGCGTCACCTATATAGTTATCTGTGTAAGCCAGTGTAGCGTCACCTATATAGCTATGTTTGTAAGTCAATGTATCGTCACCTATATAGTTAGCTGTGTAAGTAAATGTAGCGTCACCTATATAATTATCTTTGTCAGTCAATATAGCGTCACCTATATAGTTATGTGTGTAAGTCAATGTAGCGTCACCTATATAGTTATCTATGTCAGTCAATATAGCGTCACCTATATAGTTATCAGTGTAAGTCAATGTAGCGTCACCTATATAGTTATCTATGTCAGTCAATGTATCGTCACATATATAGTTATCTGTGTTAGTCAGTGTAGCGTCACCTATATAGTTATCTTTATCAGTCAATGTAGCGTCGCCTTTATAGTTATCTGTGTCAGTCAATGTAGCGTCATCTATATAATTATGTTTGTCAGTCAATGTAGCGTCACCTTTATAGTTATCTGTGTCAGTCAATGTAGCGTCACCTATATAGTTTTCTGTGTAAGTCAATGAAGTCAATGTAGCGTCATCTATATAATTATCTGTGTCAGTCAATGTAGCGTCATCTATATAGTAATCTTTTTCAGTCAATGTAGCGTCACCTATATACTTATCTGTGTAAGTCAATGTAGCGTCACCTATATAGTTATCTGTGTAAGCCAGTGTAGCGTCACCTATATAGCTATGTTTGTAAGTCAATGTATCGTCACCTATATAGTTAGCTGTGTAAGTAAATGTAGCGTCACCTATATAATTATCTTTGTCAGTCAATATAGCGTCACCTATATAGGTATCTTTGTTAGTCAGTGTAGCGTCACCTTTATAGTTATCTGTGTAAGTCAATGTAGCGTCACCTTTATAGTTATCTTTGTCGGTCAATGTAGCGTCACCTATATAGTTATCTTTGTAAGTCAATGTAGCGTCATCTATATAGTTATCTGTGTCAGTCAATGTAGCGTCTCCTATATAGTTATCTTTATCAGTCAATGTAGCGTCACCTATATAGTTATCTGTGTAAGTCAATATAGTCAATGTAGCGTCACCTATAGAGTTATCTGTGTAAGTCAATGTAGCGTCACCTATATACTTATCTGTGTAAGTCAATGTAGCGTCACCTATATAATTATCTGTGTCAGTCAATGTACCGTCATCTATATAGTAATCTTTTTCAGTCAATGTAGCGTCACATATAGAGTTATCTGTGTAAGTCAATGTAGCGTCACCTATATAATTATCTGTGTCAGTCAATGTAGCGTCACCTATATAATTATGTTTGTCAGTCAATGTAGCGTCACCTTTATAGTTATCTGTGTCAGTCAATGTAGCGTCACCTATATAGTTATCTTTATCAGTCAATATAGCGTCACCTATATAGCTATCTTTGTAAGACAATGTAGCGTCACCTATATAGTTATCTATGTCAGTCAATGTATCGTCACATATATAGTTATCTGTGTTAGTCAGTGTAGCGTCACCTATATAGTTATCTGTGTCAGTCAATGTATCGTCACCTATATGGCTATCTTTGTTAGTCAATGTAGCGTCACCTATATAGTTATCTGTGTTAGCCAGTGTAGCGTCACCTATATAGCTATGTTTGTAAGTCAATGTATCGTCACCTATATAGTTAGCTGTGTAAGTAAATGTAGCGTCACCTATATAATTATCTTTGTCAGTCAATATAGCGTCACCTATATAGTTATCAGTGTAAGTCAATGTAGCGTCACCTATATAGTTATCTGTGTCAGTCAATATAGCGTCACCTATATAGTTATGTGTGTAAGTCAATGTAGCGTCACCTATATAGTTATCTGTGTCAGTCAATATAGCGTCACCTATATAGTTATCTTTGTTAGTCAGTGTAGCGTCACCTTTATAGTTATCTTTGTTAGTCAATATAGCGTCACCTATATAGTTATCTATGTCAGTCAATATAGCGTCACCTATATAGTTATCTGTGTAAGTCAATGTAGCGTCACCTATATAGTTATCTATGTCAGTCAATATAGCGTCACCTATATAGTTATCTGTGTAAGTCAATGTAGCGTCACCTATATAGTTATCTATGTCAGTCAATATAGCGTCACCTATATAGTTATCTGTGTAAGTCAATGTAGCGTCACCTATATAGTTATCTTTGTTAGTCAGTGTAGCGTCACCTATATAGTTATCTTTATTAGTCAATATAGCGTCACCTATATAGCTATGTTTGTAAGTCAATGTAGCGTCAGCTATATAATTATCTGTGTAAGTCAATGTAGCGTCACCTATATAGCTATCTTTGTCAGTCAATGTAGCGTCACCTATATAGTTATCTTTGTCAGTCAATGTATCGTCACCTATATAGCTATCTTTGTTAGTCAATGTAGCGTCAACTATTTAGCTGTCTTTGTAAGTCAATGATCCTAGAATCGTCTGTCTTACCATGTTGTAACACTGTTGGGTTTGTCCATCCCATTACAGATATACTCAATGGATACGTTTCTCATTAGTCGATAGTAAATCAGTCTCCGATGTATATAGAATTATTTTGTGTTATGTCACTATCGTGACTTCTGACAAGATGGCAACCACTGACTGACCTCTGATCGGTAAAACTACAAATCTTGTCGGATTAAGCTAAAGATGTCCACCGTGGCTTCGCTTCTGATTGGTCAGAATTAAGGTGTTATCCGTTTTAATCAAAAGGTATACTGATGAATTATAGCCGTGGGAACTGTCTTAAATTTCTGCTTCCTAATTGGATAACACGGCTGCTGTAGCCAGACTTATGATCGGTCAACATTTATATACAGCTCACCATCGCGCTCGTATGAAGTAGATTATGGCACATACACAACCTATGGACAGAAACCTTTCACCACTATAAATAATTGATTTAGAATTTCCTCTTTTTTTTCAGCCAGCAGATGTATGTACAAATATGAAGCAACAACCGGTTTAATACAAAGTCAAAACTACCCGAGCTTTTATGCACAGACAAGCTCTTGTATGTGGACCATTGTAGGATCTGAGGGTTGTAATGTCTTTATCAAGGTGAGTGTGCTAGTTTTATCCTGCTTAACTTGAGTTCCTCAAGGTAGGGGTGTGGGTTTGACATACTGTATATATTTTCTTCAAGGTAAGGTGTGGGTTTGACATACTGTATATATTTTCCTCAAGGAGAGGTGTGGGTTTGACATACTGTATATATTTTCCTCAAGGTCAGGTGTGGGTTTGTTCTACTTAATATTTTCCTCAAGGTAAGTGTGTGGGTTTGACATACTTTATATATTTTCCTCAAGGTAAAGGTGTGGGTTTGACATACTGTATATATTTTCCTCAAGGAGAGGTGTGGGTTTGACATACTGTATATATTTTCCTCAAGGTAAGGTGTGGGTTTGTTCTACTTTATATATTTTCCTCAAGGCAAGGTGTGGATTTGTCCTACTTTATATATTTTCCTCAAGGTGAGGTATGGGTTTGACATACTGTATATATTTTCCTCAAGGTAAGGTGTGGGTTTGACATACTGTATATATTTTTCCTCAAGGTAAGATGTGGGTTTGACATACTGTATATATTTTCCTCAAGGTAAGGTGTGGGTTTGACATACTGTATATATTTTCCTCAAGGTGAGGTGTGGGTTTGACATACTGTATATATTTTCCTCAAGGTGAGGTGTGGGTTTGTCCTACTTTATATATTTTCCTCAAGGTAAGGGTGTGGGTTTGTACTACTTTATATATTTTCCTCAAGGTAAGGTGTGGGTTTGACCTACTTTATATATTTTCCTCAAGGTAAGGTGTGGGTTTGACATACTTTATATATTTTCCTCAAGGTAAGGGTGTGGGTTTGACATACTTTATATATTTTCCTCAAGGTAAGATGTGGGTTTGACATACTTTATATATTTACCTCAAGGTGAGATATGGGTTTGTCCTACTTTATATATTTTCCTCAAGGTAAGGGTGTGGGTTTGTACTACTTTATATATTTTCCTCAAGGTAAGGTGTGGGTTTGACATACTTTATATATTTTCCTCAAGGTAAGGGTGTGGGTTTGACATACTTTATATATTTTCCTCAAGGTAAGATGTGGGTTTGACATACTTTATATATTTACCTCAAGGTGAGATATGGGTTTGTCCTACTTTATATATTTTCCTCAAGGTAAGGGTGTGGGTTTGTACTACTTTATATATTTTCCTCAAGGTAAGGTGTGGGTTTGACATACTTTATATATTTTCCTCAAGGTAAGGTGTGGGTTTGACATACTTTATATATTTTCCTCAAGGTAAGGTGTGGGTTTGTCCTACTTTATATATTTTCCTCAAGGTAAGGGTGTGGGTTTGACATACTTTATATATTTTCCTCAAGGTAAGATGTGGGTTTGACATACTTTATATATTTACCTCAAGGTGAGATATGGGTTTGTCCTACTTTATATATTTTCCTCAAGGTAAGGGTGTGGGTTTGTACTACTTTATATATTTTCCTCAAGGTAAGGTGTGGGTTTGACATACTTTATATATTTTCCTCAAGGTAAGGTGTGGGTTTGACATACTTTATATATTTTCCTCAAGGTAAGGTGTGGGATTGTCCTATTTTATATATTTTCCTCAAGGTAAGGTGTGGGTTTGTACTATTTTATATATTTTCCTCAAGGTAAGATGTGGGTTTGACATACTTTATATATTTACCTCAAGGTGAGATATGGGTTTGTCCTACTTTATATATTTTCCTTAAGGTAAGGGTGTGGGTTTGTACTACTTTATATATTTTCCTCAAGATAAGGGTGTGGGTTTGACATACTTAATATATTTTTATATATTTTCCTCAAGATAAGGGTGTGGGTTTGACATACTTTATATATTTACCTCAAGGGGAGATATGGGTTTGTCCTACTTTATATATGTTCCTCAAGATAAGGGTGTGGGTTTGACATACTTTATCTATTTTCCTCAAGGTAAGGTATGGGTTTGAAATACTTTATATATTTTTCTCAAGGTAAGGGTGTGGGTTTGACATACTGTATATATTTTCCTCAAGGTGAGGGTGTGGGTTTGTCCTACTTTATATATTTTCCTTAAGGTAAGGGTGTGGGTTTGACATACTTTATATATTTTCCTCAAGGTAAGGTATGGGTTTGACATACTTAATATATTTTTCTCAAGGTAAGGGTGTGGGTTTGTCCTACTTTATATATGTTCCTCAAGATAAGGGTGTGGGTTTGACATACTTTATATATTTTCCTCAAGGTGAGGTGTGGGTTTGTCCTACTGTATATATTTTCCTCAAGGTAAGGGTGTGGGTTTGACATACTGTATATATTTTCCTCAAGGTGAGGTGTGGGTTTGTCCTACTGTATATATTTTCCTCAAGGTAAGGGTGTGGGTTTGTCCTACTGTATATATTTTCCTCAAGGTAAGGTACGGGTTTGACATACTTTATATATTTTCCTCAAGGTAAGGTGTGGGTTTGTCATACTGTATATATTTTCCTCAAGGTACGGGTGTGGGCTTGTCCTCCTTTATATATTTTCCTCAAGGTAAGGTGTGGGTTTGACATACTTTATATATTTTCCTCAAGGTAAGGTGTGGCTTTGTACTACTTTATATATTTTCCTCAAGGGAAGGTGTGGGTTTGTTCTACTTTATATATTTTCCTAAAGGTAAGGGTGTGGGTTTGACATACTTTATATATTTTCCTCAAGGCAAGGTGTGGCTTTGTACTACTTTATATATTTTCCTCAAGGGAAGGTGTGGGTTTGTTCTACTTTATATTTTTTCCTCAAGGTAAGGGGGTGGGTTTGACATACTTTATATATTTTCCTCAAGGCAAGGTGTGGCTTTGTACTACTTTATATATTTTCCTCAAGGGAAGGTGTGGGTTTGTTCTACTTTATATATTTTCCTCAAGGTGAATGTGTGGGTTTGTCCTACTTTATATATTTTCCTCAAGATAAGGGTGTGGGTTTGACATACTTTATATATTTTACTCAAGGTAAGGGTGTGGGTTTGTCATACTTTATATATTTTCCTCAAGGTAAGGTGTGGCTTTGTACTCCTTTATATATTTTCCTCAAGGGAAGGTGTGGGTTTGTTCTACTTTATATATTTTCCTAAAGGTAAGGGTGTGGGTTTGACATACTTTATATATTTTCCTCAAGGCAAGGTGTGGCTTTGTACTACTTTATATATTTTCCTCAAGGGAAGGTGTGGGTTTGTTCTACTTTATATTTTTTCCTCAAGGTAAGGGGGTGGGTTTGACATACTTTATATATTTTCCTCAAGGTACGGTGTGGGTTTGTTCTACTTTATATTTTTTCCTCAAGGTAAGGGTGTGGGTTTGACATACTTTATATATTTTCCTCAAGGTGAGGTGTGGGTTTGACATACTGTATATATTTTCCTCAAGGTAAGGTGTGGGTTTGTCATACTGTATATATTTTCCTCAAGGTACGGGTGTGGGCTTGTCCTCCTTTATATATTTTCCTCAAGGTAAGGTGTGGGATTGACATACTTTATATATTTTCCTCAAGGTAAGGTGTGGGTTTGTCATACTTTATATATTTTCCTCAAGGTAAGGTGTGGCTTTGTACTCCTTTATATATTTTCCTCAAGGGAAGGTGTGGGTTTGTTCTACTTTATATTTTTTCCTCAAGGTAAGGTGTGGGTTTGTTCTACTTTATATTTTTTCCTCAAGGTAAGGTGTGGGTTTGTTCTACTTTATATATTTTCCTCAAGGTAAGGCGTAGGATTGTTCTACTTTATATATTTTCCTCAAGGGAAGGTGTGGGTTTGTTCTACTTTATATATTTTCCTAAAGGTAAGGGTGTGGGTTTGACATACTTTATATATTTTCCTCAAGGCAAGGTGTGGCTTTGTACTACTTTATATATTTTCCTCAAGGGAAGGTGTGGGTTTGTTCTACTTTATATTTTTTCCTCAAGGTAAGGGGGTGGGTTTGACATACTTTATATATTTTCCTCAAGGTAAGGGTGTGGGTTCGTACTACTTTATATATTTTCCTCAAGGTAAGGTGTGGGTTTGTCCTACTGTATATATTTTCCTCAAGGTAAGGGTGTGGGTTTGTCCTACTTTATATATTTTCCTCAAGGTAAGGGTGTGGGTTCGACATACGATAGATATATTCCTCACGGTAAGATGTGGGTTTATCCTTCCTTATGTATTGCTGCATAGTAAAATACATTTGTAGTATTGTCCCAAGGGCTAGGGTATTGTTTTTTCCTAACTGCCAACATTTAAATGATAGAAGATAAATTCTCCATGAATCAAACTTCGAATAAAACAAGGATATTTATGTTAAATTATCTTTTTATTTTAGTTCAATACCTTTGAAACAGAGAAGGACCGGGACATTGTTGATATTTTGGTTGGAGGAATGTCAGAGAAGACATCCATGTACCGTGCTAGTCTTTCAGGGAATCAGACAGGCGCACAATATCGCAGTCACAACCGTTACATGATAATAAAATTCCGCACAGACCATGACGTACAGAATATGGGATTCAGTGCCGATTTCACAAGCTGTGAGTATGAGGATACCCAGAACGAGTATAACATTGTCAGAAGTTATAACAGACCTAATGTTAGGTAGCATCCGGTGTATCATAGACATTCTAATAAAGTCGTTATTTGGGTATTTACATGTGGTTCTATCCTTTAGAGACTTTCACTATAAGAAGTGTGGATGAAAATATTTCCCTTTGTTGCTGTACGTATCATTCGGCAGAAAAAATATATTACATAAGATGAAAAGTAACGTTAGCAGAAATACTGTTTTAGCTGAAAGTAATAGTGGTAGGTATTTAATCTATGTACAATCGTCCAATCTGATTAAAATCGAACATAGAATCACCCTTATCATAGCCAAATACATCCCGGGAGACATCTTTTAACAGCTGGTGATCTAAGACAAAGTATTAAAATAGATCATCAAGATCACAACCAGAGAAGTTTTCAATCCAGTAGGTTCATGCAATGGACGAAGATGTCATGTGTAAGGTGGAATGTTGGGTATCGGGTGATATAACATGATATTGAGAGTTTACAAGTGTTTCATGTAGTAAAAGCAATATCTATGTACAAGTTTGTAATAGTAAAATTACTATTCATGTTGAAAGGTGTAACTAGAAATATTTTGCAAAAAGCATTTCCACCTAATAAAGTCTAGAAAAGACTGGATTACCTGAAGTGCTTTTTATTGTACCTAGGCATGGCCATATATATTGTACCTAGGCATAGACATATATATTGTACCTGGGCATAGACATATAAATTGTACCTAGGCATAGACATGTATATTGTACCTAGACATAGATATATATATTGTACCTAGGCATAGACATATATTGTACCTAGGCATAGACATATATAGTGTACCTAGGCATAGACATTATTGTACCTAGGTATAGACATATATATTGTACCTAGGCATAGACATATATATTGTACCTAGGCATAGACATATATAGTGTACCTAGGCATAGACATATATAGTGTACCTAGGCATAGACATATATA